CACCCACTTTTATCAATTGGAGTCTACTATATGCATGATACAGAGGATCATCAATCCAAACTGTCCCATCAACAGGTATAAGTTATAGACTTCTTAAATCATCTGACCCTATTTTAAGAGAAGTACTGATGCCTTTGATTCATCCTATTATATAGAGAGTATTGGTGGATAATGTCAGGAACCACTCTGATATAGTCTTCTACAATACAACACTCATCGTGTGCCATGTAAAATGAAATTGCTTCATTTGATTTTGCATTTCATCCTAGAGCACAAGTAGAGCATCTAAAATGGAAGTATTCCAATTTGCTAATAAAATATTGCAATGAGGTCACTTCAGCATTTTAAGAAATGAACTCATTCAGTTTTTCTGAATAACAGAAAATGAGTCCATTTCAGATGACAACATTATTGGGTCAAATGCAATTTAAAACCCTTATAAAAAGAGAGACTATTCCATTTCATGTGGGATCCAAACAGGCTATTAGATATGAAATAGAAGAGAGTATTTCTGTTCTTTCTTTGTCAGCAATTCAGCATTTAAAATTTTGCACATTTCCATGATGAAACTGGTGGCTGAGGCCTTGGAGAAGAAAACATTTTATTGGGAATGGATCCAATGATGAGAAGAAAGTCCATTTGGTTGATGTCTTTTTAAGATAAACAAAAATGAAAATTCATTTAAAAAAAAGATACATCACCCGGTGATGAGAGATCACCTAAAAAAGTAAATACAACAATCTAAACAAACACCCAAAAACCTCAAAGATTCCCACTGATCCTCTCTGAAAAACAAAATAAAAAACCCACTTCTACTTAATCCAAAAAGCCTCAAAAACCTAACCAAATGTCAAACCGTTCATCCCAAAAAAGGGAGAGAATCCTATTTCCTTCTTAATCTCTTCAGCCATCAAGTTTACTGGCCTTATCTTTCCCTCCCATCTCCAAGTTCATGGAAGTTTTTCTTGAGAATTCTTCCCCACCCAAGAAGAGACCCATTAATTACTTGAACTTCCATACCTACCATTTCTTCCAGCCCAATTTTCTTCTCAACTTCTCTTACCTAATCCAAAATCTGTTCATTGTCACTCTCCTGCAACTCCAACCCTTCCTCCAAATCTGAGCCAGCCTTGTTATGATCTAGATCGAAACCTCAGGAAGTAATTCATTAAGAACTGAGGTCCCCAATTCCAGAGAAGTTTGAACCTTCTTAGGTGTTAAACCTTCATCCTCCCTATTTTTAACTCTGTCCTTGTCTTTCAACCTCTTCCTCCTATACCTTCTCTTGAATTTGTTACAAGGACCTGCTCCAAAGAGATCCTCTTTCAACCAAGAGAAAACCTTTGTTATATGAACCAATTGACCATTACTTGGTCCCTCTAAATTTTTCGACTTCAGTGAAAAATTGCTTTTGGCATTAACACCTTTTACCACTCTTTCCATGCTTAAAGCCATTTTCTTCCTCCCCAAATCCCTGCCCAGTTTCCCATTTGGTTGAATGGGAAAAAAATATTCTCTTCGAATGGAAAGGTGGGACTGACCTCTAACCTCAGAGACAGATGAATAAAATCCTATCATGCAAAGTATGGTATTTTGGAGAATGGTTGGGGCTTTCTTCCACTTAGAGATACCCCTGGATCATGTGTATAGAAGGGGATTCTGAACAACGTTCCATTAGAAGAGGAGCAATATTTGATCACCACTATCAACTTCTGTCAGATGTTTTAAGTCCTTTTGTCCTTGCATCCAATTGCTCAAATCAAGTCACTAGAAAATACTCAGTATCATTATATACATTTTTTGGAAAAAAGATATAGTATAGTATTATTACCAAACAGAAAATCCTATATAGGAGCTGTAAATAGGGAATATCAATGATTAGAGAACCGGGTTCAACATAGAACCGGAAAAGGAAGAGGTTCATGGGGCAGAAACCAGACCAGTTCATTGGTTTTTTGGTTAAACCAGTTGATCAGCCGGTTTTGGACAGTTTTCTACCTATTCCAGTTTTAAGTTATGACCAAACCAGATATATGCCTGGGTCGCAGTTCAACCAATCTGACAGGCTAGTCCAGTCCAGTTTCCTAAACACTGGGGAATATACAAAAAGATACTTCTATGAACAAACTAAACAAGTGGTACAACTTCATCGGATCAGATGTTTAAGTCTGTTAGCAGTCTCTGGTTCTCCACCAGGGTTGGGGGGTGGGGGGTTAAGGGGATGGGGGACGGGTTAGCCCCTGTTGTATGGCCCCATGAAGCAAAAATATTAAAAAAAAAAAAAAGTTCTCTGGTTCTCCATAATAGAAAGTCTTTAAAGGTTTACCAAAACATTGTAATTTAGAATCTTTGATCCCATGAGAATTTCTTTTCTTATTTTCTTTGCATGATTTTCTTGTTGTATTTAGTGTTTTCATTTTCTGTGATTTGTTAACTGTTTCAAAATTCACTCTATAAATTAGTCTTTTAAATTCCTTTAGATGGCTTATTAACTGAATATTTAATTTTTTTTTATTAAGAAAATAATGTTTCTATTGAAACAAAACAGAAGAAGTGCATGAGGTGATGTACACAAAATACCATAAACAGATCCAACCTTAGAAATTATGGAGAGATAGAGCTATCTCTGTACAAAAGGATCATTTCCACTCCCCCACTAGCTAAATAATCAGTCATGGTATTTTTTTCCCTGGGGATCCATCTCAAAAAGGAAGGAAATGAATGCCCAAATCTGCATTCACAAGATAAACAAATATGTATATATTTACTACTGTGATGGTTTTGTGACTTAAATAAATGCTAAAGGAAGAAATTTTACATTTTTATACAATTCTAAAAGAATTTTATTATAAAGAAGGACAATTTCTATGACAAAAGAATTGCAAGAAGGTTTTCAAATAACATATTAATGCACTTAAATATAGTTTTCTGCTTGCAATTACTTTGGCACCCTTCACCACCACCACCACCAAGAAAATTTCAATTTCCACCGACATGGTGTTTCACTTTGGCACTAGGGATATGTTTGATCCTTGTTGTTTGCCTCTTCACCAACCAGGCTTATTACTGACCATTGTCATAGCCTTATGGGGTTGGAACCTAGGGCCACCGTGTTGTCTTCATAACCATGTAATCACTCCTCTTATCCTTTTACTTCCCTCAAATCATTGTCAAACGACTGATTTTACATGCTATAAATGGTTACACATTATTTACATTTATAGAAGCCTTGCCAATCCTCATACAGGTGGCAACTTGTATAAAAATCAGTCTTATAAATTTCCTGCTTAAAATTGATAGACCCTACTGCTCAACATTGAGGTCAAATGCTTTCCCATCAAGGTCTCAAACCATCAAACAAGCCAAGCATTTTGCACTTTGAAATTACTCTACTAGCTGTTTGTGAGTAATAAATTGACTGAGGAATCTACATGAATACACAGTTTAGCAAATGAAAACTCTTGTGGTAATTTTGTCATTAATAGTCTTGACCAAACTCCTTAAGTCTTGTTCCACCATCCCACTCTCCACAAGAACAACTGAAAATAAACAAAAGAAGCAATATGCTGCTTTTTGGCCTGTTCATGTTATTTTAGTGCACTTTTTTCTTGTTCATTTCAGCCACTAGAAGAAAAATAGATTGCATAGGTTCATTTGCTTTTGTCTTGATAGTAGGAGTTCCAAATAAAAGGCTTAAGAGAAAATGAAAAGCAACTGAGTAGAATTACTAAGATAACAAAGCCCAACACTTGAATTTGGTTCATATGGATGAGTAGAAATGAACAGGTCTTCAACAACAAAATAGTGAACCCATACTTTGTATTTGAAAATGTGGGTTTTGTAGTGAGTGAGTACAATGAAAAGCTCAAAGCTGATCAAAGTTGGATGATAAAGTAAAAGAAAATATCGTAAAAGGAACCATCCCCAATTTACTTTACTTGAAATTAATTTTGATGCTTAGATTCTACAAGGGCAGAAATACTAGCTGCTGTACAAGGGGGATCCAGATTGCCAACCAGCTTGGGGTGGAACATCTCCTAATTGAAGGGGATTCTCGGGTGGTAATAGGGTGGCTTTTAAACCCAGATGCTGTCATTTGGGGCTACAGAGACCTCCTCAAAAAAGTAAAGTGGTTAACTAGTAATATGAGAGTTGATGTTAAATGGGTAAGCAGGTCAGCTAATGCTATGGCTGATTCTTTGGTCAAACAGGGGGTTTCCAGGGAGGGTCTTTTTTGTGCTACCTTGTAACTTGTTCTAGTAAATTGGAAAGCTGTATTTAACTAGTATGGAGAGATTGCATCTCGTGCCTCTCCTTGGGAAGCTTGTACTTTCTTATCTTTGGTGATTAATAAAATTCATTCATTTATCAAAAAAAATAATAATAATTTTGATGCTTTGATTAAATAACAGGTGAAGCAACTATAGGATGTATTTGCAAGGAATCATGCCGGGATTCCAATTCAAGGAAGATTCAAATATTTGGGAAAAGTCCCAATATTGTTGCCTGAAGCTTGGGCATCTAGGGTGATAGCATCCTACTTGCTTGAGGACCTGCAGATCACTAAGGTGGTTCTTTAAGGAGACTCACAAGTAGTCATGCATAGTCTCAATCAACATATCCACTCATCATGGCAGGTTAACTCCACCATCATGGACATGTTTCCAATAGAGGAAGAGTCTCTTAAGTCGATTTTTTGCACTCTCCACTTCTCCAGGAAGGAAATTCTGCAGCAGGTTGGCTCACTAATGAAGCAATAGTAAAGAGACACGATCTTAGATGAACTTCCTGTTATTCTTTTGTGTTGCATAATATTCTATTAGTTGACTGTGTAAGTCTTCCTTTTGTTAGACTACAGTTCCATCAATCCCAGTAATTTATCAAAAGAAAAAAGCCTAAAACTTGGAGCCATTGTATTTAATATTCATGTTCATCATCATATATATTTAATATTCATTAATGCTTAACAAGTAAACATAAGTATAATCCAACAAGCATGGTTAACAAAAACAAGGAATTTCATTAAGTCAATCAAATTGTAATTCTGTATCCAAGATTTACAATGAATGAATTGATTTAACCAATTTTGAAAGAATGGAAAGAGAATGTCAAAGACCTCGTACGGATGCTGACCTATCAAAACCTACCACTTATGAAAATAGACTCATCACTTATCCTCTTATATATGCATAATTCAACACTAAATGTCTGCAGGGATGGCAAGAATAGACTCGGGTGATGCTGCAAGGTTCCGATTGGACCACTGCTGCTGGCCTGTACTTGATGAAGACTGAGGTGATGTCTTAAATGCATCACTAGACGTGTTATACTTCCTTCTCTTCCTATATACTTTAATCTCTTCTTCTGCAGTTTTCCCAACAGCATGAACCTTCAATGACTCAACATCTTCTGACCAAGAAGAAACAGGGGAATCTGCTTCACCTAGAAGGTTCCAGTCATTTATGGAAGAGGAGGAACTGGTTTGTGCTCTTGCCTCTTCTTGTTGGATGTAGTAATCAGTCAAAGAACACGACCACAAAGACGAAACCACGCTTGTTGATGGCTCAGAACACAGAACCTCCCCTACTTCTTGAACACCCTCTCCTGCAATGAAGGGGTGAAGCAAGAGCATATCAGCCGTCCACCTATACTTCGCCGTCCTCACAAAACATCTCTTCAGAAAATCTTTCCCCTCTTTCGACATCTCACTTGGTATCCTCGGCAACTCACGGCCCAAACATATCTGTGAGAGAAAATCATCGACGTCCACGTCTGGTTCAGAATCCCATACCGGCTTCCCACTTACCATCTCTACCACAAGGCACCCAAGAGCCCATATATCCGATGGAGGCTCCTGTATATTATCGATAATGGATTCTGGCGACATGTATAAAGGAGTTCCTCTCCAGCAGGGCTCCAACAACTTCCTCTTGTTCTGGTACACCTTCTTTGCCAATCCAAAATCCCCAATCTTCACAACGTAGTCACCACCTCGGCTTTTTCTCTTCCTCTTCCTCGAAGAACAACAAGGAGATGCAGGAGGAGACATGAGAAGGATATTTTCAGGCTTGATATCGCAATGAACGTAACCCCGAGCATGAATGTGATTAAGCCCCTCAAGAATCGACCTGGTATAACGCTTGACGTCGGATTCCGGCAACCCACCACTCGCTTTCGCCTTCTTTATCTGATCGGCTAGGGTACCTCCTGACCCATACTCCAACAACATGTTATAGATCATCTCACCATTCTCGGTGGTGATTTCATCTCCAAAGCAATGAAGAATGTGAGGGCATCTACCGAGGTTGGCAAGAACCTCTTTCTCCTTCTGAAGCGAACACGAGCGAGAGACCTCGGCCCACTTCACGGCCATTACAGGCGGGAAATAGCTTTGACGCGTATTCCGTCTCTTCGCCCTGGCCAAGGAAACCGTACCAAAGCTTCCTCTTCCAATCGTTTCGCCTTTCGTCCATTTCCTTCCGTGATGACTCTCCATATCATCCACCTCCTGAAGCTCCTCTTCCCGCCTTCTTTTCATCGATTCCCTTCTTGGGGTCGTAACCCCTATAGTTTGTTCTTCTACCACCAACACTTAAACCAGAAAACACACTTCAGGTTTGAGTTTTGAATAAAATGCAAGCAAAGATAAGAAGCCCAGATGGAGAAAGCATGGAAAGAGCGGTTTGGAGCAAAAAAAAACAACAACAACAAAATTCTGGGTTTTGAGCAGAGAAACGATGGAACACATAAAAGAACCAACTGGTTTTAGGTTTGGAGATGGTCAGGACTCAGGAAAGGATTGAAACAGGTAGACAACCAGTTGATGATTAGGGCTTTGAAGAGAAAACGGGTTGGAATTTCTGAAAACAAAGGGAGGAGATAATTACGTTGGAAGGTAGTTGCGAGTAATATCAAGGCAGAAGAATTGAGTGTCCAAAACGGCGGCAATTGCTCTCTTCGTTCGAACCCGCTTCCAGGTTGCGTGTAACGTTCGTTCATTGTATGTCAAAATTTGAAAGCGTCGACGGACCCTCATCTTCACTTGAAATTACGTTAATGCCCTTGAATTTCCGCGTGCTTTTCCCTTTTCCTTTTCTTGAAATCGTCAAGCCGGCTTGTCCAGTCAGTCCAACGGTATTGAGTGCTATACACCTAAGTCCTACCATCCCACTTGGGACCGGGCCCTAGCGCAGACCCTTCCATGCATGAACTCGCTAGGGTTTGGATGAAGTGAAAGTGCAACTTGGGCGGACCCAATCTGCCCGAATTTTCACATGGTTCG